TACTAAATAAATAATTTTTTTTTCAAAAAATGTAATAAAAAGTGTTAATTATTATATGATGTGTACATGTTTTAGAGTCCCGGTATTGTTGATTGCAATGTTTCTCTTCATATAATCTATTAAAGTGTACATTTCTCATTAGGGGTGCTCACGGTTCGGTAATCGAACTGTGGGGTGATTTTCTGGACCGAACCGATTTATTCGGTTTTTACATTTAATCTAAAACCGAATCGATTAACTGTGGTTTGTTTTTTTTTTTGTTTTTTATGCCCTAAAAATTAAAAAAAAGGGAACTGTGAGACCTGAATGATGTGCGTCTGAGATGTCGAAGCTCCGCAAGTGTCTCGTGCAACTCATCCACTAAGTTCGACAGTTGCTCCACACAATCACACAGTGCGCCTTGCTGCCTCTTGCTCCTGCCGTGGAGCTTGGCGAGGCGGGTGATGTAGCCGGAGACGACTCGAGCGCGGGAGAGATTAACGGTTACGCCACTCGTGCGAGGTCGTTGGTAGTCCTGGTGGAGCCAGTGTCGAAGGAGAGCGTGCAGAGACAGAGGTTTGGATAGCTGGCGTGGATGCATAATGAACAAATTAGATCCCCGGTGTGTCGGATCTTGATGCGGCGGTAGTGCATCGTGCTAAGTGGGAGAGAGAAAGGAAGAGAATGAAAAGACAAAGAGGGACGAAGGGATGCCATTCCTAGTTGAAGCCTGAGGATTGATTGGCTTTGGCTGAACGCCTGAAATAGGAAGAGAAGAGGACCAAATTGAGTATAGTGAGAGAGACACAGAGTGAGAGTCCGAGAGAGAGAGATGGAAAGAAAGGGAAAAGATATATAAAATAAAATATATAATATTAATATATATATATATATACACACACATATATACCGGTCGGTTCGGTTAACCGTTGGTTTTTTAAATGGTTAACTGAAACCGAATCAAAACTATCAGTTTTTTGAAAATATCGAACCAAAACCGAATCGATCAGTTTGGTTAACCAATTTTTGGTTGGTTTTTTGGTTTTTTTTGCTCATCCCTATTTCTCATGTATTTTTTTACCTTATTCATAAATAATTTGACTTTAAGTTTAGTGTTATCAATGTATTTTATGTGATTTTATGCATTTCTTAGTATATCCAAGCGTTTCGATATCTTTTGTTTGTATTCATGTATTTGAAAAGCATATCTATATCTGTATCTTTATTAGAGCTATCAGATACGCCTAATACCGATACTTTGATCTTTGTATTTATAAATGAAATATTTATATTGACAATTTTTAAATTTTTGTTATATTAATATTTTATTTTATTTTATTTTCTAAATAAAATAATCTCTATTAGTTTTAATTTGTAAATTGGTGGGTTCTAACATGGGAGGCACATATGAATGGAGATGCTATTCTCACATTTGGTACATTAAAAAATGTAGTAGAGATGAAATTCTAACATGTACATTTAAGGAGGAAGTGAGACACTTTGATGTTGAGGAGGTGAAACATAAGACTTCAATTCTCATGATATCTCAAACTATGCATACAACATTTTAGTTTATATAGACACACATAATAATTGATGAATATATACATGTACGCATGTACCAAGCGATTTATTCATATTTAAAGCTAATTTACATATTTTATTTTTATTAGTTATATACTTTTTAATATGAAGATTATGCTTCTGATTTTTTTTTTATTTGGGTAAATTGCATATTAATACTATATACTTTGGATGTAGTCTCACTTTATTATTTGAACTTTGAAAAGTGTCATTGTAGTACCTAAAACTTCAAAAAAGTGTCATGTACGACTTGAAAACATTTCAAAATCCCAAAATTATCCTTCAGAAGAACAAGGCACTGTTAATCATCTTCTTCCTCGAGAGTGAACCAAAGTAGCAGTGAGCAAAGTAGACAGCTATGTGGTGTCTCCATTTCTTGTTAGTTGGTACTAAACCAAAGCCATGTAAATGCTAGGTTACCTCAAATGGTAATTTTTGAGGATCAAATGGTAAATTCATTCGACGCTCCATACTCCAAATTAGCCTTACCATTGGATAGATGATTGAGTACTTTAGTATTGAGTATCGAGCGTCGAGGATGAATTTACCATTAGATCCATCAGTGTCTCTATGTTTGGTCACAGTTATGATTTTTTGTTTTGGTCCATAATGGTGCTTTTGTTGGTAATTTTACTACTCACCGTTGGCCCACAATGCCCTTTGATTGTTCATGACAACAAAAAGCAGTTTGGTAATTTTATTTCCCATTGTAACATCTGTTAACGATGCTAGACTAAAGTGGCATTTTTCGGAAGTTTAGGTACTGCAATGATACTTTTCAAATTCAAGGATTAAAATGAGATCATCCCAAAGTATAGGGTAATAATTTGTAATTTATCCTTTTTATTTTGTTTCATGTTTATAACTTTTTCTGTTTGGATTAAATAATATGTATATACATACACAAATTATTTGGAATATTTTATGCATTCAAGGTCAAATTAATTTATTTCATATAATTTTTTATATTTCCTTCCATATATACTTGTTTTACTATTGATAGTTTTTTTCAAAACTTTTAAGTTTGTTTCACACACACATATTGAATTTATTTATAATTTCTTTATACATTTTCAAGTGCAATTTATTTCTATCTTAGTTAATTTATATATTCACTTTTTATTATATTATATTCTTTTTAATATGATATTTTAAATTTTTATTTTATATTTACAACATCTTACATCTAAACAAAATAACATTTTTACTTAATTTACAAATATTATAATATTTTTTTTCAATTAATCAAACTTATAAATAATAATGACTGTTTTATTTATTCACACACACACACACACGTATATAACAAATTGAATTTATTTATAATTTCCTTATACAGTTTCAAATACAACTTATTTCTTTTTCAGTTAATCTATATATTTACTTGTTATCATATTATATTATTATTAATATGATATTTGACATTTTTTAATTTTATTCTATATTTATAACATCTTACATCCAAATAAAATAATACGCTCATCTACTTTATATATATTTTAGTTGTTTTCCAATATAACCTAATTTATAAATGATAATAAACATTTTATTTGAAATTTTATCTAATTTTATTATATTCATATGTTTATTTTTATATATAATCACAACAATTAATTTTAGTTCGTAAATTGGTGTGTTCTATAACACATCATGGGTGACGCAAGGAGATGTCAATACATTGAGAAATATAATAAAGTTGAAATTCTAACATGTACACTTAAGGGAGTATCAAAGAGATATTTATATTATGAGTACTAATGTAGGTCAAATTGCCCAACTTCCCTGTTGGAGGACAACTTGGATGTATAGATAGTGAGGTCGGCAGACCGACCTGTAAGAAACAACGGATCAGAGTACTCGGGGCTTGGACCCAGCCTAGGCACTCTTATGCTTAAGTTAGCCGAGCTAGAAAGCAATAAAGCGAAGGGATTCAAAGAACATGAGAGCTTATGTGTACTTAATCGCACATACCTTGTGAAGGTTTGAAGGTGCCTTTATAGTCTTTGGGGACCGAGTTGCATGTTCAAGATATTTGGGTATGATAATCCTTATTAGTATGCTATCTTCAAAGCAAGTCGTACGTTGTTGTGATGATCCTCATCCATTTCCTCACAAAGCATACGAAACCGAACTCATCACTGCCAAGTAGGCAACGTGTGTGTCGTCATATGCTTCAGAACTGATAAGTGAAACGGGCAGATGAGGTTGGACACGCCACGTAGGACGGTACCTCGGAGGTCAGCTATCCACAGTCCACACAGGTCGCTAATTGCCTAGGTCAAGGAGACCGGTTGGTCGCTTGAGTTGCCTAGGTACACGACCTCAAGGTGGTCTACTCCAAGCTATCGTTGAGCGGTCTGTGAGTCTTCCATAGGTCGATGTCCAATTCATAGAGACCAGTTTTGGCCAGTCTTATCGGACGAAGTCCAGCCACATGTGGTGCTGAAGTGTCATAAAACGGTTCAGATTTGCCACAGGACACAATATTACTAGAGGGTCAAATCGCCCATCATTAAGTACCTTTTAGTTTAAATTATACCCAACCAAAGAAACAAGGTTTGAATTTTGCAGCCATAACAGAAGTATTTTAAAATTTTCATTTGTCCTAATATAATGCTATTTATATGAGGTATACACCTTACCAATTTGAGGCATGAGGCGGTGAGGCGTATGCCTCGCAAAAGTTGAAGCAAGCCTATAAGGCAGTTGAGGCAGGGTGGTTTGGCTCCACCCCGCCTCAACATGTATGCCTTACAATCTTTTAAAACCATGCACTGGCATAATATATCAATATATGATGACCACCCAGCATCCTTCAATTCCAATGGAGGATTTCTGCTACTACTAGGACCGACAAATATAATTTGATTTGCAATAGAATCAGTTAAAATTCAATCTGATTTTCCGCTCGTAACAAAATAAATAAATAAATGAATGGGCAACAAATTCCTCCGCACTGACCAAGCTGGCATCTGTAGAAATGCCTGCCTTTCAAATTTGGTCTAACTATTTCAAATTTGATCGAGTCTCAACCAAAGTCGCAGATCAAAAAACCATGCTAAGAAACTTATCCGACCAAAGTTTCTGTTGATTCATACTTAATTTGTTCAGTTTTAAAAGTGCAATACATAATTGAAGCAACCAACCGGAAAGAGCAGACTGAAGTATCTATTTGGTTGAATCTGTTATTCTTTTGCTTACTATGATACACCCAAGTTCAAATCAGCCCCCCACAACGTCCCACAGCACATTCCCGCTGTGTACTGGGAATATCTCCCGATGATAATATCCGGAATGATGATGTCATCATTGGGAGATGTTCTCAATACATGGCGGGGATGTGCATTGTGGGGGGCAGATTCAGTCTCGATACACCCAACAGCACAAAATTTCCCAACATTAGAATGTTCAACTATCGCTCATGAATGAACCAATGCTACAAACTATTTGAACATTAATCTCTGAAGATATATTCCACGCTATCAAAACATGATAACATAAAAGCAACTACAGATATAAAACCTTGAATTCTTAACCATTGGAAATCACTTTACAAGTTTTCCTGTACCACAATTTGTATTGCTTGTATGTCAAAACTTTTGCCTAATGTAGATTGTTTGCAGTTTCAACCTTGTACACCCTTAATATCTTGTGTTCAAACTGTCAACCAAATACTCCTGAAGCGAATCAAGAGGTAAGTCAGGCAAGACTTGTTCATAGCTTTTATACATTGTGTTTGCACTGTCAATTGGATACTCCAAAGTGAACCTAGTAATCAGACAAGTACCAAGAGCCCCAAAATTAAATCCAAAGTCGCATCCAAATTTGCAAACCAAAGGAATATTTGCATGTTCTCCGCAGAAAACAAGTCAGCCACCCTTCTTTAGGCAACACTAGTAAAAAGTATTATTGCTTTGCAAAATGAGATGTATCACTTCCCAATAAACTGCTTTGATGGAGATAATGGTACCACTGAAAAGATGCATCTATACAGTGACAAGTTTTGCAGCTTTGGATATAACATTATTCTCCTGACCAGATCACGTTATCATGGATTGGTGCTGGTGGGTAGGTGATGATACACTATATTTTGTCAAGTAGAAATTTATAAGTTCTTTCTTACATCACCAGATAATTTGGACAACTTTGGAATATCCATCAAATCTACAAAAGCAAACAGAACTATGCACCTGTATCATCCTGTCGTATAATCCAAACAGCCTCAGTCAGCATCTCCAAGACCATCACTTCCATCTCCTTTCTTGGATATGGGTGTATAATGAGAATTAGGCCTCTTGGTTTGTGCGGCAATTTCAGCATTCTTTCGCAGGACAGCACCAGGAGATGGGTATGGACGTTGCTGAAAGAGAGGACCCTGAAATTTGTGGTACCAACCTAAATGTTAGCATGAATTGTGAACTTGATGCTTTGATCATACCTAGCAACCAGGTTACTGTTGTATGATCTGTAATGCAAGATTCACATACATACGTGTTTGCAAGCATCTCTGTGTTTCCATGTGTACTAAACATGGTTAACATAGAACCCAACAACTGGTGCATTGCAAAGGAACACAAATAATAATAGCATATTTGGAGGTAGTAGCACAAACCCCATCTTGTGTTACCTCAATATTTTATTGTTTAAGAAAAACAAAAAAATATTTCTTTATATTCTTTCATCCTCTTATGACAAACGAAACTTAAGTCTTCAAAAATCATGTTGCCCAAAACTCGAAAGGACAAATTATTAATTAAATAAAATAAAGATGGAAAATGCTTTAAAAGAAAAAAATGCTTTGGTTTTGTTACTTTGTAAAAAGTACAAAAACAAATATTCAATACAGCGAAGAACTATAATAACAGTAATCAATAGAAAAGGCAACTGGATGTCTAAAAAGCCATTAGTAATTGGGCAGACGTTGAATATAAAGAGGACCTAGTGGGAACAAGTTTTCCACTGGAGGAAAATTTTTGCAAAGATTTTGTTCCACATTCCCAATTATAAGTGAAAATAAAGTAGTGACCATATCAATGATTTTCACAATGGATTTTTCTGGAGGCAAGGTTTCTTAGGCTGAAGTTTGCCCATGAACAAAGGAGCACTAAGGGAACATGTTGTCCTATATCAGTAAAAAATAATAACCATATTAATGAACATAACAGTGTATCCTCTTTCCCACATGTGTATGCCTACATGCCAGTATTTGTGTTGTGATCCAAACCAACTATACTTTGGTAGAAAAAACTTTTAGAGACTACAACTTAAAGGTTTGATGTACATTTCTTTAGGAAGCAAGTGCATGGACAGCAAATCCTAAAAATACTAGTATTTAGTATTTAATATGTTTTTTCCTTAAAAAGAAGGTGAAAAAAAAGAGAGGAAAAAAACAACATATGTTGGAGACTGGACTGGTGGTACTGACCTGCCTAGGTATGGCAAGCACGGGGCAGTTGAAAATGACTACCAAAATATTAGATAATCTTTCTCTCTCTCTCTCTCTCTCTCTCTCTCTCGCATGCACACTGTGTGTGTGTGTAATGTGTCTGTGTCTGTGGAACACTGCCTATAAATTTTCTCAATGTTACTGTGAAAGATCAAGGGTCACAAAATGGTATTAGTGCTTTCTATGATTTTCATGTCTATGTTATCCTGCATGCTTTCAAAACAAACTCACCATGGTCAAACTTGTTTCAGAAAGATGTGCATGACATGTTTAGTAAATCATTTTGTCATATGCACTAGACTACAAGTACATCACATACCGTGGCAGTGGTATCTGCTGCTTTTGGCTGTACTCCTTTGAGACCAACTACCCTGTAAAATCAACAACTGATTATAATGAGTCTTGGGCTATCTGCATGTAGCCCAAAAAAAATGTATACAGCATCTGTCCAAAATCTTGGCCATTCTTAAGCTATAAAAGCGTTCTTATTCATGAAATGAATGAAAAAAGTAACCAAACAGACATGCACATGTGTATGTGTGAGAAAGAATGCAAAAATATGCAGCTTCCTTTATGAAGCAATCAATGCTTGAAAGGGAGCTGTACAACATACCAGCCACCTCGAGGAGCATCAGAATAAGAACTTGGATCCATAGGATCTAACTCATCATCCTCGGCCTGCAGACGTCTCCTGTTTTCTCTTCTATTGCCTTTTCCAGTTGGTTTTGAATTGGGCCTAGGATCCAAACTGGAATAAATCAATTCCTTTATCATACCTTCCTGTTTTTTCCTTTTAAATAGTGCATGTTTAAACAAATGAAGGTAAATTTCTATATCAGCAGATACTTTGGCTTCATACAAATAAAACCAAATACAATTAATTTGGGAAATACATATTCAATTTAGTATGCCTTAGGTTTCTTGAATGCATATTATCAATTCTTTTTTTGCTCTAAGTTTCTTTTAACCATTAATAGAAAATTTTCTTGATAGTTGAAAGCAAAAGAAAATTAGAAATATAAAGAAAACAGCAGAACCACCATGAGGTTAAGTCCCATGGCTGGAAAAAGCCCAAAATAGCAATGGTACGAAAGAGATCCCAAACCCTGGACAAGGAACCATGATAAACTAGCCCAGGAGGGAAGAACACCAAATAACACTCTGATTTACTTCCTCCCGAGTTGAGGTGTATGAAAAAATCATTCAATTTATGCTTTGTTAGAGATACAAGAATCACAACTATAGGAGTCACAAGTGCAGCTTTGTTTCATCAAGGTAATGTGTAGCAACAAAGAATTACCCCTCTTCAAGTAATAGGCTTTGCAAGTCTTTGGCGAAGCAACATTTGTGTAGAGAAGATGGGCCGAATGGCCCATAGGCTGTTATTCTATGTTATATTTATGTTCTTCTCTGTAATGGGCCTTATTCTGAGCCCATACTCTTCTATGCTGTGCTTTTGTAATTTCTTGCCCAACCAAGGGCCTCTATTGTAATTATTCAAGAATTAACTTAATAAAATTGTATTAGAGTGTTAGAGGGAGAGTTAGTTCGAAACTCTCATCCTCTAACACTCCTTGCCGCCAGCTCTCTCTCTCTTATCTTCTCCAATCTTCTCATTTGTTTGTTTTTCTGGTTTTCATCTAATCTTACAGTCCCATACTTCAAAGGGCTGTTTTCAACTTGGTATCAGAGCAGGCCTGAGCTTGGCGTGGCTCTCATGTGGGTATAGTCCAGCCGACTGCATGAGGGTGATCCAGAGCTGGAAGTTTAGACTCATTCGCCTGATTCTTGGAGGTCATTGGAGGGTGCCCAAGGCTCTATTCGCTTGGAGAATAGTTCGATGACCAGGAAGAATCAGAGAGAAGGACTGTTCGGCCTGATTTGAAGCTCAAATCAGAGATTTATACAACTGTAAGTTGCTTCAGTTATTACTGGGTTGTTTTTTTCCTGATTTGGGGGGACTGTTAAAGTGCTCAAAACCCCTCTAAATCTGCTCTGCTGTTCAACTGTTGTTGGCCTGATTTAACTCAGAGATTTCTGGGTTAGTTTCTCATCTTGTYGGACTGCCAAGTGGCCGAAACTTGTTTGGACTCAGTGGTACGAGTTTCTACTTCAGTTCAGTTGCTTCTTGGACCTATACGGACTGCTCTTGAAGTGGTTCTTACTAGTTAACAGTGGGGTGTTCACTACTGCATACATATTGTTTGTGCAAAGGCCTCTTAAGTACTGTGGACTGTGTTTTTGCTCTCTTGAGGGCACTTATTGTTGGGAACCTAGAATCCCTAACTAGAAAGGGACTCCAATCGGGGACATAGTGTTTGGAGGTCTGCTGGTTGTCTCTTGAAGGCTGAATCAGGCCTTCTTCTTCTTGAAAGAGCTGCCACCGAACTTGATTCTCACGGCTGTCAGGTCTGAACTGGCCTTGTGGGTGGCTGTGTTTGTTGCTGATTTAACTCAATCTGAGTTCATCAACAATCAGTACACTAGAGGAAGCTTACCAAAACCTTAATTGAAGCCTTTACATGGACTTCTCAGATGTTGAGAGTAAGAGTGTTGCTGAATATGGACATGCTTTGGGAATCCCAACTGATTCTTTGTTGACTGTAACCACAGTTAAACTGGATGGAACCAACTACTTGGCATGGTCACAATCTGTGAAAATTCATATTTGTAGTAGAGGAAAGTGGGGGTTTATCTCAGGGAGCAAGAAGGCTCCCCCAGAGGATGATCCCTCTTATGAGAAATGGATGCAAGAGAACTACACCGTTATTGGGTGGCTCGTGAATTTAATGCAGCCACAGATTTGTCAACATTATCTCTGGATGAACTCAACTAAGGAAATCTGGGACAGTGTTGCAGAAACCTACTCCCAGATACTAAATGTAGCCAGAGCCTATAAACTAAGGAGTGATGTGAAGAATTTAAGACAGGGGGAGAAATCCCTTGCGGTATATTTCTCAACCTTGAAATCTCTGTGGCAAAAAATTGATCTGATAGAGGTTGTGACATGGGATACTTCCAATGATGCAGAAACTTACAGAAAATTGGTTGAAAGAAACAAGGTTTTTGAGTTCCTAACTGGACTAAACCCTGAATATGACATCACAAAACAAAATATTTTGTCCAAGGAAAGTGTCTCATTATCACAAGCATGCTTTGGTCAGCAGTGAAGAGAGCAGAAAACAGGTACAGGTTCAAGGGGTTGGCACTAATGATCACTTTGCAAATATGGGGGTTAAACCCAAAGGAGTTATAGGGGCTCCTGGTGGCACTAGAAAGGAGGTTGTCTGTGAATATTGCAAGAAGCCGAAGCACACCAAGGACAAGTGCTGGAAATTACATCCCAGTCTTGTTCCTGCTCGATTCTAGAAGAAAAATGATAGTAGAAAGACAAGGAGTGCAAATGCAACCACGGGTACAAATGCTGAAGTTGAGTCTGCATGTGCACAGTTGGCGGCCATGAAAGTTGAGTATGAAAAGTTTGGGAAGATGATCAGTCATCTCGAAGGTGTAACTTCATCATCCAACCCTTCAGGAAGTTCAGCCACCTTTGCATTTGCTCACTCAGGTATAAGAGCTTCTGCTAACCATGCAACCACCTCAGGTAATCCTAAGACCCCTTGGATCATAGACTCGGGTGCTTCTGATCACATGACCAACCTTTCCACTTTGTTTGTTCATATGATTTACTTCCTGGTCGTGACAAAATCACCTTAGCCGATGGCTCTCTTGCCTCTATTTCTAGCAAGGGAACTGTCAAGGCTATAGACTCCTTACTCCTATCTTCCACTCTTCATGTACCTAGATTAAATACCAATTTGTTATCTGTGAGTAGCTTAACCAAGTCATTAAATTGTTGTATAACCTTCTTTCCTTCCCACTGTGTTTTTCAGGATCTGGAGTCTTGGAAGGTGATTGGGAGTGGCCATGAAGTGAATAGAATATACTTGCTCGCCACTCCTGGACAATGCCTTGATCATCCTAAGAATGTTGCTTTTGGTTCTACCTCTTCAGAGTCTGTCAGTCGAATTATGTTGAGTCATTGTCGTTTGGGTCATTTGACTTTTTCTGCTTTAAGTCATCTATTCCCTAAATTGTTTAAGGGAATCAGTGTGTCCAGTCTTAATTGTGAATCGTGTCAGTTATCAAAGCATTGTAGAAACAATTACCCTTTGAGCAATAAAAGATCTTCTTTTCCTTTTAATATTGTGCACTCTGATGTGTGGGGGCCTTACCACTTATCTTCTATGGGGGGCTACAGATACTTCATCCTGTTTATTGATGATTTTTCTCGATTCACTTGGATATTCCTAATGAAATCTCGTGATGAAGTTCCAAGACTTGTGAGGCAATTTCATGAATTTGTTTTAACTCAGTTTGATACCAGGATTAAGATTTTCAGATTTGACAATGCAAAAGAGTATTKTGAGAAGAGTTTATCCTTGTGTCTCTCTGACATGGGGGTTATTCATCAAAGCTCCTATGTTAGAACCCCTGAACAGAATGGAGTTGCTAAAAGGAAAAATAGGCATATTGTTGAAATTGCAAGGAGCCTTTTGTTTGCCTCACATGTTCCCACAAGATTTTGGGGTGATGTTCTCACTGCTACCTATCTCATAAACCGTATGCCATCCATGGTTTTAGGGTTTAAATCCCCCTTCAGTCTTCTTCATCCAGACAAGGATCTCTTCCCTATTCCTCTTCGTGTGTTTGGCTGCACCTGTTATGTACACATTCCAAGTGCCCAGAGACATAAGTTTGAACCAAAAGCCCACAAGTGTATCTTCCTTGGTTATTCCCCCACACAGAAGGGTTACTGTTGTTTTGATCCAAAGACTGGCACTCGATATGTCTCAATGGATGTTACCTTTGATGAACTTTCTCCTTTTTATGGTTCCTCTCAGGAAGGACATTGTCCACAGGGGGAGAGTTTGTCACAAGTGTTTGTTCCTCCTCTCCCTGTCCCAATTGAGTCTCTTGATGAGCCTGTGTCCTCACCAAATGAATCAAGGGAGAATCAGTCACTGCATTATCCTTGTCCTAGTGCTCCTATCTCTTTACCTCCTCGTCCTACCTATAATCCCAAGGTGTATCAAAGGCAAAGATCCAGGAATGAGCAGGTTGTTTCCCTTACATCAAGTGAGCCTCATGCACTACCAATCACAGATGAGACAACAGGTGTTGTTTCAACCTCTTTGGAACCATCTTTCCCTAATCTTGATGTTCCCATTGCTGTTAGGAAAGGAAAACGGAAGTACACTGCACATTGCATTTCCAAACACCTTTCTTATGGTCTGCTTTCTCCTTCATACTTTGTCTATGTCAGAAGCTCTTGAGATTCCAGAATGGAGAGATGCCATGAAATTTGAAATGGATGCCCTACACAAGAATGATACTTGGGAAGTGGTGGATTTGCTTGAAGGGAAGGATCCGGTTGGTTGCAAGTGGGTCTTTACCATTAAATCCCAGGCTGATGGGACTATTGAGAGGTACAAGGCCAGACTGGTTGCAAAAGGCTACACACAAACGTATGAGATTGATTATCTGGAGACCTTTGCACCTGTTGCTAAGATGACATCTGTGAGGGTTCTCTTATCTCTGGCAGCTCACTTTGACTGGCCCCTTTATCAGTTGGATGTAAAGAATGCGTTTCTGAATGGTGACTTACATGAGGAGGTTTATATGTCTCTCCCTCCAGGAATGTATGAAAGTGATATGCAAGGAAAGGTATGCAAATTGAAGAAATCCCTTTATGGCCTCAAACAGTCTCCTAGAGCATGGTTTGAGAGATTTAGAGCAGCACTTGTTAAATTTGGTTATGCTCAGACACAGTCTGATCATACTCTTTTTGTGAAGAGAAGTGGATCTCTGGCAGTATATCTTATTGTGTATGTTGATGACATTATTGTGACTGGTAATGATGCCTCAGGAATTCGTGCTCTTAAGTCTTTCCTTCGTACAAAATTTGAGATTAAGGACCTGGGGGAGTTGAGATACTTCCTTGGCATAGAAGTTGCTAGATCCAAGGATGGGATTCTTATCTCCCAAAGGAAGTATGTCCTTGACTTGCTCTCTGAAACAGGGAAGATGGGTGCTAGACCAGCTGCAACTCCTATTGATATGAGTCACAAACTTTCTGCTTCAGATGGAACATTGTTGGAAGACAAAGGGGTCTTTCAGAGACTTCTTSGGAAACTCCTGTACCTGTGCATGACTCGGCCAGATATTGCATATGCTGTCAGTTGTATTAGCCAGTTCATGCATGCTCCCCGAGATACTCATATGGCAACTGCAGAATGAATTTTGTGTTATTTGAAAGGCTCTCCAGGAAAAGGAATTCTGTTTACCAAGCATGGCCATCTGAAACTTGAAGCCTATACTGATGCTGACTGGGCTGGAAATATTGATGACAAAAGATCTACTTCAGGGTATTGCAATCTGGTGGCTGGTAATGTTATCTCTTGGAAGAGCAAGAAACAATCAGTTGTGGCCCGATCCTCAACAGAAGCAGAATACAGAGCCATGGCACATGGAGTCTCTGAACTGTTGTGGCTAAGGTCATTGATGGAAGAACTTGGGATTGATYATGACAAGCCAATGATGTTGTACTGTGATAATCAGGCTGCCATCAACATTGCTCACAACCCAGTACAACATTGATAGAACTAAGCATATTGAGGTTGATAGACACTTTATTCGAGAAAGAGTCTCTTCAGGTGAAGTGTGTCTTCCATTCATCACTTCTGAAGGACAATTGGCAAATTTTCTCACCAAGGGCATTCCCAAGGCAAGGCTTCTACATGACACTAGCAAGCTGGGCATGATTAACATCTATGCTCAGCTTGAGGGAGAGTGTAGAAAAGATGGGCCGAATGGCCCATAGGCTCTTATTCTATGTTATATTTATGTTCTTCTCTATAATGGACCTTATTCTGGGCCCATACTCTTCTATGCTGTGTTTTTGTAATTTCTTGCCCAACCAAGGGCCTCTCTTGTAATTATTCAAGAATTAACTTAATAAAATTGTATTAGAGTGTTAGAGGGAGAGTTAGTTCAAAACTCTCATCCTCTAACACTCCTTGCCGCCAGCTCTCTCTCTCTCTCTTATCTTCTCCAATCTTCTCATTTGTTTGTTTTTCTGGTTTTCATCTAATCTTCACAGTCCCATACTTCAAAGGGCTGTTTTCAACTCTGATTTACTTCCTCCCGAGTCGAGGTGTATGAGAAAATCATTCAATTTATGCTTTGTTAGAGATACAAGAATCACAACTATAGGAGTTACAAGTGCAGCTTTGTTTCATCAAGGTAATGTGTAGCAACAAAGAATTACCCCTCTTCAAGTAATAGGCTTTGCAAGTCTTTGGCAAAGTAACATTTGAAATAGGATTCTGAAAGCCCAAGGCATTGATTAATTTGGTATGCGCCTGACAGAGGTCTCATTTAGTTGGAACTTACCAGACTCGCTGGTATTAGAGAAAGGAACAAGAATAAGGTGCAATAAAAATCAAAATTTCATTATGGGATTTTGTTTTGGTTAATAAGGATATGTGATGGATGTTTAGACAAAAAGAAGTGCGTTCATCCAGTACTGTGCAAAGTCCTACATCATACACAAAGCTCTATGGTAGTAAATGTTACTGGATTCTAACAGTTTTCTGAAAAACAATAAGTTACTCGAAAGCTTATTTTATTGAATTTTTTATCAGTTATTTTATTGAAAAGTTCAATCCAGTCCCTTCAAACTTTCATTAGGTAAAGAGTTTTTTTTTTTCTTGGCTAGCAGGATCTTCCTTACATATGCATGAATGTCTCTAGAAAACTAACAAGATTGCTGAAAGTGTGACAAAGGAAAGTTAACTTTCTAATATCTTATCTCTAAGAAAGATTTTAATCATCTAAGAGGGTGAGGGAGGAAGGGAAGGCACATAGTTGCAAACATGTCAAGTACTTGGGACAGCATTAAACAAGCCGGCACAAGTTGCTCATACAACCATAACCTTCCATCCAAATTTATGTAACAAAGCGAGTTACATGCCTTTGCTTAAAGGGCACTTTGTTTTGAGCTTCTTTTTTAGTTGCAGTAATCCCAGTTTGTGACTGATCGGTTGAACCATGTGCCAAGTATTGTTGAAAAGGAAGATTAAGAACCCTGCACAATTAAAATAGCACCTATAAGCAAAGATAACAAGATAATAAAATAATGCCAACTTATATATAGCTCTGGTCATGGTCAGAGCTCTATCACACATATAGAAGGAACCAAGTCAAGTTAAAAAAGCAGGAATCTTGATTGCAGGATTCTGAATCTGATAAGAATTAAGCAAGATTACTGCAATAAACAATAATTAAGTAATAGCATGCCCCGAAGAATTAAGCAAGACTTATTTTCCTATATCAGTATTCACAGGAAATCTATCCATATTGTTTAGGCTTTCTGCAGAATCTTTTTGGTTTATGAATATGCAACTTGTCTTCAATACGAAAATACGTGGCTTGAGGATCCATCCCTTAAGGAAAGGTTAAAGACATGGTGGGAAGATATCAGAGTCCAAAGGAGAAAGAAAATATGGAGATTCTATAAGAAGCTAAACTTTCTGAAAGAGAAAATAAAGGCTTGGAATAAAGAGAATTTTGGAAGAGCTGAAGAGATCAAGCAAGCACAAAAGTTGGAAAGAAGATTCTCAATGGAAGAAATTAAGGAAGCAATCTTCACAATGGACACGTCTAAAACCCCCAGCCCAGATGGTTTCTCTATGGCTTTGTACCAAGAGTGTTGGGAATTCCTTAAATAGGAGCTTTTGGAAGTATTTAATGAATTTTACTTTAAAGTGCAAATTCTCTTGGAGCAAATGCCACCTTTATCTCCTTAATCCCAACAAGAAAGAGGCATTCTCTCCAAAGGATTTTAGACCCATAAACTTGATAGCGAGTCTTTACAAGATCATTTCAAAGGTTTTGGCTGAAAGTATTTAGTAGGCCCTGCCCTATGTCATATCACTATTCCAAGGGGCTTTTGTAGAAGGCAGATTATGGACTAAATCCTAATTGCAAATGAATGTTGTTGTGGAAAAAAGAAAAGTAGATCAAAGGGGTTGGTTTTTAAGCTGGATCTAATAAAGCCCTATGATTTAGTTGATTGAAAATTTTAGCTATAAGTCCTAGAAAAATTAGGTAATAGAGTTAGATGGAGGTCCTAGATGAAAGGTTGTGTTAGCTCAGTCCATTACTCAATCATTTTTTTTTTGTCAGTAGTCCATTACTCGGTCCTTATAAATGGGATAGCAAAAGATTTCTTTCCAGCTAAGAGAGGAATTAGATAGGGAGACCCTTTATCTCCTTTCCTATTCACCTTAGTGGCAGAGGTGTTGAGTGGTATTATTGTGACTACAGATGCATAAGGTCTTTATTAGGGGGTAGAGAATTGAAAGTAGTAGTTTCCCACCTCCAATTTGCTGATGATACAATTTTGTTTTGTGAGGATATTGGTTTAGAGATGGTGAGTCTCAGAGGAGGTAGAGAAGAGAAAAAGACAGCAAATGTTGGGTATTTCTCCCCCTCAAATTGATGCCTGGGAATTAGCATCAATTTGTCCATAAGAAACATGTGTTGGGCACGAGTCATAGCCTTCATCAACATGTGTTGAGGCTTCTGGCTTTCACTTGGCAGCAAAGCTCACATTATACTTTTTTTTTTTGAAAAGGTAAAGTATTGTATTCAGTATCCAATTTCACTGTCATAAAAAAACAGACATTTTGGCTTTAAAGACTAAAAATCACATTCCTAAATAGTGCATTAACTTATTCATTTTGCATCAGAATTTTAACAATTTTTCCATTAATCTTCCAATTGAGCATGTTCAAATAGAGATAGTTTTGAGAAGTTTTCTTCATCCACATGTCTTGAAAAAAAAATTGAGGGAACTAGTTTATTTTGTTCCCATTACAAATTCAATTAGCCTATTTTTTATTTTCTTTCTTTCTTTCTTTTTTGATCAGCAGAAGAATTATTTTATTATATTTGGTTTCTTCTTTTATTTTATGATGATGGAAATGATCACTAGTTGGCATATCTTGCATTGCTATCAGTTTTGAAATGACTTATTTATTCATTTGGTTTGTATTGAGTAGAAATTATTACTTTCTACTTTTAAATTAGATGTGACTGGGGGTTAGGTCTTTCTTTTAGTCATGGATTGCACCTCTTTGATTTTATTATTCATCAATTTATGAACAAAGAGAAACATATACATAGTTTACCTGATTCAGAAGTTTAAAGGTCTACATAGTTTACCTGGTTCAGAAGTTTAAAGTTAAACTTGGACTATATCATCCACCACTTACATTGTACAAGTGCTGAAGTTACTGAACTACTTATAAGATGACATGGAAAACAAATGTGTTAAAATCAATTCAAGTTCGATCCCCATTTATAATTGCAGTAGGTTCACAACTCAGTTAAAAATTGACCTTCTATCTAATTGTCAGGATAAAGTTACAATTTTCATAATAGGTTAGAGCTTCAAAGAAGTTCAAATGAAAGGATTATCTTAATCCATGCAAAGTACCCCTTCAAAATGTACCTTGTGCAGTGATTGCAATATCCCCATGTCTGAACCAGGCCAAGTCCCCATCCACCACATCCCATGCATCTCTTTAGCATAGATGATTGATCATCTGCCTCAGCATGTTGTGAGCTGGTTGCTAATGAGGAATCCGGCCATTCCCATTGTGAAACATGGGTCTTTGTGTTATAGTAATACTTCTGACCTGTGAATAAAAATTAAGCTTCAATAAGTAGGACAATCTTATGCATGGAGTGAAATTAATTTTGTCATTATAATTTCCTCCTTACAGTGCATGCTCATCAGAATATAGCTTGAGTTTGATGATCTAAAAGACAATATTTATATGGCCTGTTTGGGCATCCAACTTGGTTTACCAAAATTTGCCCCATGTTTGCATTGCATTCACGTAGGGTAGGTAGATCCAGTACCACCATCCACCACCAAAACCAGGTTTTGCCTTAGAAGGAGCAGGCCAACTAATCTTGGGTAAATGATAGGGGCCTCCCTTGTACTTGGGGGTGTAAAACTCAGCCCCCTTTACTATTTTTTGTGACACTCAGCCCCTTAGGGCTTAGCCTTTCATATCATGATGAATAATCCCTTCTGTCACCAATCCAACAAAGTTTTGACAATATTATATCCATGATGTAAGATATATGTTATATGCGTTCTTGGTATTTTTAAATACTTAAAAGGCCTTTGTCTTGCTTTATTGGACAATTTTCCTTTTTGCCAATTTAGCTCCATTTAATATTACTGAAAGAAATATTTCTGGTCAGGACTTCTAACCAAAGATCTAGACCATTGAATTCATGCCTCAAGATCAGTTAATTAATCTTGAAAATCCAAATGATGTGCAATGGTTTCAAGTAATTTGCCATGTAAGTGGTATAGTAAATGATAGGCCGAATTAACCCAAAGATCTGGACCATCAAAGTAGTTTATTAAGATCAGTGCATTAATCTCAACCCTCCTAATGATGTACCGAGATTCAACTAATCTAGGCCATCCAAAAAAAAAAATGTACCAAATCAACAACAAAAAAAAATCTAGGCTATCAAAGTTCTCTCCTAAGAATAAAGTTTCAATTAAAGAACCAAAGTTTCAATTAATATCAGCTGTTCAATTAAAGAACCAAGGTTTCTAAAAAATATAAGCCAAATAAATCAAATATCCAGATCATCAAAATTGCTTCCTGACCTTAGTCAATAAATTGCATCCATCTAAATGATGTATCAACTTGCAATCCAAATAAGGAATTAATCAACCCAACTGTCGAGGTCAGGAAAGTGATATCCTTATATCAGTGAACTAAACTAAACAATCCAATCATTTAGAAAAAAATCTCAACCATCCAAGTGGTATACCAAATTCTCAACTAACCCCAAAATCTAGGCTACAAAGTGACTTCCTAAAAGCAAGGAATTAATCTTGGCAATCCAAGCAACATACCAAGATTTCAACTAAATTTGGCCATTCAAGTAAAGCCCCAAATTTTCTGAAAAATCTAATTCCAAATAAAATAATGTAGAACATAAGCCAAAGACCTGGACCATAAAAAAGGTCTCATAGGATCAGTCGATTAATCACAGCCATCCAAATTATGTATAGTGATGAGGGATCCCATGGGCGTAGATATGGAAGATTCGGGTCCTATTTAAAATTTCTTCCTCTGGACAGCTGTGGGTGACAGAATTTGACTATTGACCATATGGTGATTAAAGGCATGGCTCTTAAACAACATCCACAGCTTATGTGGGATGGAGCAGGAGTCTATTAGCCACCTTTTAATTCACTGCAGGTTTACTCGCCAGAATTGGCATCATTTCATGCAGCTATTTGGAAGAACTTGGATAGCTCCCTATAATCTGCCTATTTTGCTATCTGCCTGGATAGTTAGTGGATTCTGGTTTAGAGGCAAATTCTTGTGGATTTGCCCTATCTGGGCTGTGTGGAAAGAGAGGAATATTTGAAGCCAAGTCATCTCCCCCTTAAGTGGTTATTGGCAAAATTGAGTAGTTGCTCATGTGATGGGAGGGAATTTTGAAAATGTTTTCTGCTACTTCTATGGACAGTTTTAGGAATCAGAGGAGGGAGATTAATTTTTTATGTATCTCTGGTTTCATGTATAGCCTTGAGGGTCTCTCACCCTCCTCAACTAACTTAGCTCATCTATATGAGATATCAAATCAAGCCAAAGATCTAAGCCATTAAAGTGGTCTCCTAAGATCAGTGGGTTAAGCTTAACCATCAAGTGACACCAAGATTTCAACTGATCTAGGCCATCCAAATGATATACCATCAACCCAAATATCAAGGCATCAAAATGGTCTCCTAGAGCAATGGATTAATCTTATTCATATAAATCATTTACCAAATCAAACCAATGATCTAGTTTGTCAAAGTGGAAGCATAAATGAATTGATGGATCTAAGCCAGCTAAGTAATGTATAGTTTTGCATGGTAAAATATATGATCGCTGTCACTAATAAAAATCTGGCATCACCACCATCACCACCATGGAAACTATCATGTTATTGAAACAATTAATAGAAAAGCCTAGAAAGAAGAAGAGAGATCTTCATATAGTAGTTATTAATATAGATAAAGCAAAAGATAGAGTTCCTAGAGAGATAATATGGTGGGTTTTGGAAAAGACAGGATGAGAAAATAGGTATAGACCTAATTAAGAACAAGTATGAGAGTGCGACAACCCATGTTAGAAAACCAGTGGGAAAGAAATCAGAGTTTCCAGTTATGATGAAACTAAAGAAGGATTAAATTCAAAATTAGATTTATGGACAAATACCTTAGAAACAAGAGGTTTTGAAAGGACTAAAACATAATAATATATACAATTTAAATCATTAATATGAGTGGAAATCAGGATACTCTTAAGATTGGAGACCAAGAGATATCTCAATGTGGCCTCTACCATTACCTTGGTACAATAGTCCATAACAAGGGAGAGCTTGAGGAGAATGTCAACCATAGAACCAGAGTAAGATGGGCAAAATGGAGTAGTGCATCCAAATTCTTATGTGATAGGAGAATACCACTTACTAAAAGCTTAAAAGGAAAAGTTATAAAATGATTATAAGGCTAGAAATCTCATATGGAGCAGTGTTGGGGAGTCAAGAAACATGTCCAAATGAATGTGACAAAATGAGAATGTTTTGATGGATGAGTGGGAAAACTAGAAAGGATAAGATTAGAAATGAACTTGTAAAAAGGAACATAGGAGTAACTCCAGTAGGTGATAAAATGAGGAAAGTAGACTAAGATGGTTTGGTCACATGCAGAGAAGACCATCTACAGATTGGTAAGAAGTGATCTGTTATAAGTTTAAGGGGCTACAAGACAGTTGTAGATCCCACCTGCAATAATCTGAAATAAAATAGAAATTAGAAGGGAAGAAGATTGAAGAAGATGGAAGAAAAAGAAACAATGGAGGAAGAAGATGGAAGAAATGGGAAGAAGGAAGAGAGTAGTTCTAACCTCTCTCCTGTCCCCCAAAGTAATCTTTTATTCTTTAATTGTAATGTGAGAACAATTACATGAATACCCTTAGTAGGGTGGCCAGCACTCAAAACAATAATAAAAGTTAAGAAAACAAGCCCATAACTAAGGACCACTACTCATAAAAATAAAACCAGTGTTGTAAAAGGCATGGGAGGCGTACGCCCGGAGGCGAGGTGCTCCCAAAACACCTTGAGGCGTATGCCAGAGGCGCTGGCACCTCTGAGGCGTACACCTCAGGTGCGCCTCTTGCACTTTTTTCATGAGGCATGCTAGAGGCCGTATGCCTCATGCACATCTTATACAAAAAGACAGAAAAAAAAAAGAAAAAAGAAAAAAAAAGGAAAGGAAAGGAAAAGAAAGGGAAGGGAAAGAAAAAGAAAGAGAAGAAAAAAAGAGAGAAGGAAAGTGTTATGATTCGGCCGGCCCTAGAATTCTATCTGTCTGAGATCGGTTAGGTAGAAAGAGGTAGAAAGGTGGAAGAAAGAGAGAAAGAGAGAAGGGGAAATTCTGGTTCGAACTGGAAGTCTCAACCTAAACCTCTCCCAGTCGGCCAGACAGAACTTATATTATTAAAAATGATTGAAAAGACATATGTGCCCTTATTTAAGTTAGGAGCACTGGTTCCAACACAACAYTACAGATCAGCAACATTAATCTAGGTATAAAGACAAATACCCCTACGCTAACAGAAAGAAAAGAAAAGGAAAGGGAAGGGAAGAAAAGATAAGGGGAAAAAAAGTGGTTTGCCACTTTGCCCCCTGCCCCTTCGGTTGGGGGGCTTCGCCCCCCAGACCCCCCACCCCCTTTTTGTTATACATCTTTATTCTTCTTAATATAAAAGATTTTTATTAAAAATGTAGAGAACACTGATGTGGTCCCCAATGTACTGTACTCGTATGACTATAGTCAGCAGTTAGTTGTTGGTAGTTATTTCAGTTAGTTTATAATTATTAGTCTTTTATTTTTGCAATGTAAGCAGTAAGGGTATTTCAGCCCTTTTACCTTTATTTGAGAATTAATATAAATAGTAAGAGAGGGGCGGCAGATCAATAATCCTCTCCTTTTCTAAATCTCCCTTTCAAATTCTTCTTCTCTCTTCTCTTATCCTCTTCCTCTTTCTCAATTTTTTCTGTTAATTGAACACTAAAACTAGGACTGATTGTAGTCTTATTCGACTACATGGTATCAAAGCCAACCTAGGAGTTCTTATGGTAGTCTAATATGGCCGACAACATAAGAACTTCCTAGGATTGGAAGCTCTCAGAAAAACAAGCCCACTGGCTGAGTCTTGGAGATTGTAGGCAGTGTGCGGCTAGCATTGGAGGATGTCCAGCAATCCGGAAGAGTTAGACGAAGGGAAGAACTTTCAAGATTAGGGTTCAGACTTGGTTTTGAAGGTGGCGGCCAGAGTTTCACTGAAGTAAGTTGAGTTTTTGAGATTGATCTATTAAAAGAACTTTTTTTTCTGGTTATTTTAAGAGGTGTGGCTGAGAGACCTCTCTTCTTGGACTGTTCTTTGTGATTGATCTATTAAAAGAACATTTTTTTTTCTGGTTATTTTAAGAGGTACGGCTGAGAGATCTCTCTTCTTGGACTAGTTCTTTGAGTTTTTCTTGACCTACGACTGGTTCTAGGTTTAAGACCCTAAATTCTTGACTGTCGCCAATTCTGGGGCAGCAG